AGAAAAGAAAATAGTGCGCTGTCCTCTTTATATAAACATTTGAACATATACATATTCATAAATGGGGAAATATGGGGAACATAAAACTTTTTTATTTCAGAGTCAAAAAAAAACAACACACAAAGACGTGTCTGTTTAACTTGAAGGATACTACAGCTGGTTGTCTATGACTTGTCTTCAGAGTTGGTTCATCTATTCCCTTTTCACATCCACCCATGCAAAATTAGAAAATAGCCTTTACTCTGTTGTTGATAATGACCTTCTTTAGCGGAAACCAGCACCCACACACCCCACGTCAAAGCAGCAAAGCGTCCCGAGCTGAAAGGACTCATAAGGGATTCCCTTTAAGAGGGAGGCAGGAGGAGCACTGGTGGGAATGAATGAGACAGAGAGATGCTGAGTGGCTCCTCTGACTGATCTTTTCCTCTGTAGTGGAACAAACTGGAAACTGCAAAATCCCAATGCTGCTTGAAGGTTCAGCTGTTCCGATTTGGCAGCACTTGATAAAAACTCATCTGGAACTGGGTTTATTGGTGTGCAGCAGAAAATAAACACCAAAAACTTGTAAAGGTATGGGGATTAGAGGCCTTTTTCTGTGTGTGGCCCGTAGACGTTCTTCCAAGTGGGAGGTGGAAGAAAAGTGGCGGCCTTTTACCGCAAAGGATGTGGTGAGCGGAGTCATCTGTTCTCTTCCTGCTTGCTTTTTCTGTTCTATAATCCTTGTTTTTCCAAGTCAATTAATATTCCTGTTCTTTTATTTTTATTAATTCTCTTCAGTTAACATCTTGAAAGCATAAAAAATCTTGGACTTACACTTTGCATTAACCAGGAATAGAAAGTTGTACATAATTGAGCCCAGGTGAGTAGAACTCTTAAAGGAGCTACTTTAGAGAAATTATTTCAGTTTCCACTCTTGTTTTTTCCTTATTTAAAGGAATACTGAAAAATAATTAATTATTATCAATCGAGAGAAACAGAAAATCTTAAGGTAAAGAACTAAAGGTATTTCTACATAACATGGTGTGTTGTCATACATCATCTCTGCGTCGTTCTCCAGCCTCAGCTTTAAAAGTTGTGCCGACCATGCATGTCTGTACATCTATGAGTTTTATGAAGCTTCCACTGACGGCTCAACCTCCACCCGGCCCAAAGAAAGCAGCAAGGGAAACATCAGCAGAATGAAACATTAACCAAAAAACTAACAGCATTATGACCAGATTGTTCTGCTGGAAGGTTCGCAAGCAAGTTTGGTTGTGGCCGGAGTCTCGGAAGCATCTTGCTAACCAGTTAACAACTTAGTGCTAGTAGGTTCCATCCATCCATTATCTGACATGCTTGTGCCAAGTGGGGTCGCGAGGGGCGCTGGTGCCTATCTCCAGCAGCCAATGGGCGAGAGGCGGGGTACAACCTGGACAGGTCGCCAGGCAATCGCAGGGCAACACAGAGACAAACAGGACAAACAACCATTCACGCACACATTCACACCTAAGGAGAATTTAGAGAAGTCAATTAACCTACAGTCATGTTTTTGGACTTTGGGAGGAAGCCGGAGTACCCGGAGAGAACCCACGCATGCTCAGGGAGAACATGCAAACTCCATGCAGAAAGACCCCAGGCCGGGGAAACGAACCCAGAACCTTATTGCTGCAAGGCAGCAGTGATACCCACTGCCCCACTGAACAGCCCGCTAGTACTGTAGGTTTCCTATGGGAAATTCCATTGGGACCAAGTAGCACTAAATTGGTGACTAAGCAATGACACTGTCAAGGAACGCTATGGACAGCGGAAATATGCAAGAGGAGGAGAGTTTTTTATCAGAGGTCGTGGATGAGTCTCCTCTGTCATACAGTTTTTATTTAGATGAGGAAAGCGGGGACGAAGTTGTGGAAGAGGACGCCAGGGCGGCAGAAGCTTCATTTGGTGTAGAAGGCTTATAGCCATACATGTTTGAGCCCTTGCCTCGCAACGCTGCCAGTTCTGCAAAAGATTTTAATCTTTATAAGTCACTTTTTCTTAAAATAAGCGCAATTTTTCTTGGATTAAGGAGGTAAGTGAGACACTTTGCCAATGGAACAAGACAATTTATATTTAACATAATAAAAAATAATTGCATTGTCTTATTCCAAGTGCATTTTATCTAATTATCTTATTTCAAGAGTAAAAATACTCATTCCATTGGCAAATCCTCTTACTTACCTTCTCAAATTAAGGCTAAATACACTTAATTTAAGTAATCTTTACTTACTTCTAGCCTGCTGAAGACATAGACGCCCATGCCCGTGAACACTGGGACGTAACTTAATGGTAAAGTAAATGGATTCTTATTTCAACCGTTGCGTATATTAGCTGCGACATATGAATCAAGATCCAATGACCTAAAAAATTTGATTGACAGATGACCGTTGATATGATTGGCCGAATTTAGATGTACAAGCTGATGTATAACTAACGAAAAAAAAAAAACACAGGTTATAAGACAGGATTTTAGAAATTTTCTAACTTTTGGGACAATATGGTCTGATAAAGAGTACATCTATATACATGTTTAAGCCAGAATGATTTAAAATTTAAACATGACTTCCCTATGACTTAAAAAAAGGTTATATTTGAAACTAACCAATTAAAATGAAAATCTAGGGATCGTTTAACCATTTTCCAATGCCAACAGCTTCCAAACAGTACAATAACTACATCTATAAACACTCCTGCCTTTAAGTCTATATAAATACTAAACCAGTGTAATTCTATTCAGCTGACACTGGCAATCACTCAGCTAAAACACAGACAGTAAAGTGCATTTTAAAGTCAGGCACCAGTAGTTTTGTATATATTCATCTTCATTTTCTTGAGAAACCCTAAACCAGTAAAGTGCAATGACGCCACAAGTGAGAAATTTGTCAGCAGGTCTTCCAGTTAAACTGAGGTTTACAAAATTCTGCCTCCAAATTTAGACTGAGGGCAAATCTTTATTAAAGATCTGATTGTACTCCAACTTTCATGTTTGCGTTACACGAAATGCAGCTCTTTGGTTTTTATGAATGGTCCGATTCAGCCGCTGACTACTTCAAAAAGTTGAATAAAGCTCAGTTTTGTGAGAGACTTGTGGATTAGATCACAGAGGGACAGAGGTTGTTCACACAGAACCTCTGGGATTGCCATGATTCTTACAGGAAAGGGATCCTGAGGCACAGAAATGGCCTCCTGACCCAACAGCCTTCTCTGCTTTCTTCATTTCAGGTGTTCATTCCCCACAGTTGATGAAAATGAATAAAATAAGGTTAACTTCTGCATTTAAAATGGCTTTGGCTGGTCATCTCCCTCCATTTTACCTTTAAATGCAACAAGTTTAATTAGATCATTAACAAAAAATAAAAAAAAAACAATATAGATCCTTAATTTTCCTGCAGCAATGGTTCATCAGACAGAAATCAAATTCAAAGGGCTGCGTTAAAGACCAACAGCGTTTGTATGTGGGAAACCCACCCAGCTGCTCTATCATTAACCACCTATGATAGAGATGTTTAATGAAAAGTTCAAGATGTTTTTTACAGAGTTTATATAAAACTGTTTTCAAAGTGACACATTGTCCCTTCTTGCCATTTTCTCTCTAGCTACTTTAAATAAAAACCACAAGAGCGGCGACATCGTCTTTAAAAAAAAAAATCTAAACGATGCATAGCTCTGAAGGTCTGAAGTCATCTGGTCCAACAAACCTTCACAGGATAAAACAATTGGTTACAGAATATCCAACAAAAGCATGAGAGCTGAATTCAAACCTTTTCTGTTCTCAGCTCACAGCTACGAGTGTCCAAGAGACGCATCCAGAGGCGCCTAGGTGTGGAGTATAGAAGCCCTCCATTAGAGCCAGGTGGGCTGCTATGAATTGCTGGTTGTGTGACAGCCCTTTATCTACTGTACTACTGCTGTATATATGTGCAGATCAGTCAGACATGGCAGCAATCAGTGGTTGACTTTGAAAGACCAAGACAGCTTAACTTAACTTGATAAACCGGACTAAATTTGAGTTAAATGTGTAATTTAGTCTGGCCCCGATGAATGAGACATCGGACGGTTGTTGATGAGAACAACCCGTTGTCTTTCAAACCATGTCTGTGCTTATTGGCCTGACCAATGAGCGCAACTGACTGTGACGTAGGAAGCGTGACAGAAAGTTGGTGGGGGAGTGTAAACAAACAGCCTGTCGGTAAAAAGGCGAATACGTCCTTCTTAAAAATGAGCGTAGAGCCTCTTCCTGCTCATATTTAAACGAAAACCCAAAGTCTTATCCTTCCAAAACTGATTCCAAAGCCAAACGAGAACTGTTCAATAGTTGTTGCCATCTTCCTTGTTGTGCTTTCTCCAGCTTCATGCAGCTTTGTTGTCACGCCCTCAAAACTCCGCCCGCTTTGCGATTCAAAAATTCAAAACACATCTCTGCGTTATGATTGGCCCGCCAGTTCTAGGGCATGGGGCATTAATCGAGGCTAGACCAAACTCGCAGGAAAAAAATATTTTGGCCGCTGGTGGGTGGGGCTAGTTTACTAGGCTACGGTTAACTATAAAACTATTTTATTGACATGTCTTCCCATTCAGGGCACATTCAAAATGCAGAGGTGCTCCAGGAATTGGTAAGTGATAAATGGCCTGTGCTTATATAGCTATTTTTCAAGTCAGAGGACTTGACCAAAACACTTTAAACTGCATTCAGTCATTCACCCATTCACACACACATTCACATAATGATAGTGGAAAACTACCAGCTGCTGAATTCTTCTGAATATTTTCCAAATTGACTTTTATTACAGCACTTTTCCAAAACACAATATCAGTGATACATCAACAACCTTTTGTTACTCGTTTCCCTTTTAACAAACATTACCAAGGAAATTCCAGGGATAAGGAAGAAGGTTCAGAGAGAAGGTTCACCATGAAAAGGCCAAACAGTTTCGTTATAAAGGTGAACCAGAATGAGAGGAAGGATTGTTTGGAGATCAGCCTACCTTAACGTGGCTCTGAGCACCCAGGTTGTAGATCTCTGTGGGCTTCACCTCGTTGATGATCTTCACCAGACAGGTGCTGTCAGTCAGGTCGCCATAGTGCAGCTTCATGTCTTTGAAAGAGAAGCATAAGGACTTCTTAATCCTAATCCCTTTTAAACCTAAATGGAAATGGTTTTTTTCTAGTTTACAAATGTCTCTTTCTTAAAGTTTTAAAATGATTCATAATCAAGATTAAAAAGGTTGTTTGAAACTGAAAATCTGCACCGAACAGATCTGATCACAGTTTTGTTTATTCTGTTTCAATTTGGATAAAAATGCATTTTGTTTTAAACAGTTTTCCATAAATTGCTGCTGAGGGGTTTACAGATGGGAACTCAGAAGTTCTCAAGTTTTCAAATCACCATCTAATTAATCTGAGAAAGCACAAAACCTCTTTAAGAATAAAAAATAAATCAAATACCCAGCAGGATACTTACTGCCCTCTGTATGCGTCTGTGGGTTTTGGTAAAGATGCTCGATGCGACCCGTGTTGAAGGAGCTGGAACGCCGCAAAATACCATGGACCTGAGGGAAATCGAGACTGAGGTATTTCTCATCATCTTTTTTTTTTTTTTATTGAACATTTGTGTTACATTTACATTTTGACACGTTACATTTGTAATCCTTTTTGACCTTAGGAGTTAAAAAAATAAATAAATAAATCCACCACTGTTTTTTAACAAGGTTTGAATTTAAAATGTACATCACAAACACATCTGCAATCAAACAATGGGTGGAAAACTTTATATTTCTTACTTAAATAAATGTCCATAAACTAATTTACTACGGTGATGTAAAACCCAACATGTTAATTACATTTTCTGTATACAAAAATAATAAACCTCAACAGAATCAAAAGGTTTTCCGACTAATTGTAAAACCTAAGAAATAAGATATTTAAGAGTCAATTTGAACCTGAGAAAAACACAGAAATGTCCCATAAACTTCCCGAAAGGTTATCACCTTCCATCAAAATGCATTTCTTCTCAACTTTTCTTACGCAGATCAGGAAACACAATCCTTCATCTCTTTGGAAATTTTACTCATATAGAGGTGTTTCTAAAAAGAAAACGGCATCTTATTTACTTCTGGTAGAAAACAATCAGCTTGTTTACTTCATTCATCATAGGTCTTGTTTCTCAGAGTTTTCTGTCCCTATAAGTACTTTTCAACACCAATATAAGTGTAGCACGCTGGCTGATCTGGGATCTTTACTCCACATTCTGTGGGGGCTTGAAGAGGAAGGTCTGCTCAGGGAAGATAACAGGATTTGCTCCAGTGAGTCCATTAGTGGGAGGACACTGTGGCCTGACCTCACTTCCTTTATTCACTCTGCTCTTCCTGCATGCCTCTGCACTCCACTTTATTGCCAAACCAGGACCTCTTCCACTTCCTGCCTGCTGTCCCTACCTTAGGCAGCAGATGGGGCACAAGACACAAAGGATGGTTGATATGCAGATCTATAGTTTTTAAGATTCAGAATCTTTATGCGACTCATTTTGTTTTCACTCATAACCCATTTTGAAGTGGTCAGCACAGCTTATAGCTGTAAATTAATGTGTCATATGTTTCATTTATCAAGAAAAGCTATCCAAACCAATTACTTCCAGAACAGTAGAATCAGAAAATCGCTTACTTTGTGTTAGGTTTATTCAATGATGATTATAAAATTAATGTATGCTTATGAAACATTTGTGCAAGGGGATGCTCCACTGTGTCTTGTGATTCAGTCGGGAGACCATCCTGCCTCGTCATTCTGGTGGAGAATCCTGTCTTTCTGAGGTGATCAGTTGTTCTGTCAGAACAAATACTGTTTTGTAACTATGTGTTATGTTCTGTTAATAAAAGACGGCTGGAGGAGAGGATTGGGAGAAAGAAAGCTTGAAGTTGGGTTGGGCTTTTTCTTTCCGCTCCTGCAGAAGTTGCTTGAATCTCTTTCCTGTGTAGACTCAAGTTCTTCTTTTACAAAACCTACATTTTCTTAACCTAACACTTAGAACCTTTTTGACAACATGAAGTAGGCTAAAAGGTCTAAGAGGGTGAGAAGCGTTGTAACAGTAAGTTACAAAGTGTTTTCTAAGGCTTTAAGTGGATTGAACTGATTTTTCATTTAAAAAAATAAAACACAATTTTAACACTCAAGTAATCTGTGCCTAATATAAGTTGTTTAAATCTAAAAAGGTGAAAACAGAAGAAATAGTTTAGGGATAAATGTATTTTGAGCTACCGCATATAAAATACATCAGGCAGCAGATTTAAATAATGGTGACTGAAGAGAAACAGGGCCTGTTGGAAATATGACTAAATGGAAGGTTTCTGACATCTACCATACCAACTATCCTGTTTTCAATGAAGAGACGACCTAAACATCATAGTAGCACATGAAAAATGCCATTTGATCATGCTACAAAGGATTCTCCCCGTTAGTGACCTCGCTGCTATGAATGTATAATAATTAGTTTGACCCTGGGTAAGCAGCTCGGTCTGGGGTGAACAAGCTCATCCAGCAGGAAGGTCTTATCAGGGCGAGGTGTGAGCGACCCACTGTCTGTGTGGGTTGTCATATGACGTCACGGTTCCCCCCGGATCTCCCACAGACAGCGGCGGCTGGATGCAGCTTATCGGGGGAATGCTGCTGTGTGGATGTTGGCCTTCGTCACTATCTGTAATTGTTTTTTTATGTGTCTGCGAGCACGTCTGAGAGTCTGAAGATAAAGCATTGAGTTGCTTTTAAGGGCTGCAGAGTGTGTTGTGTTCCTCTCACCTCATAGCCTTTAGCAAGCAGGAACTCAGCCAGGTAGGAACCATCCTGAAAAGAAAGGAAATCGCATTTAGATTAACTGCAGATCTCATTTTCACTCCTAGAGGAGAACCTTTATCTTTTAACTATAATAGTTCCCTCAACTGGTCATAAGCGTAAAAAACAAATACTTGTGGAGACACTGTGAAAGAATTTGAGACATATCCCACATTTTGGGATAGAATAGAATAGAATAGAATAGAATAGAATAGAATAGAATAGAATAGAACCTTTATTGTCCCACAATGGGGAAATTCTGGTGTTTACAGCAACAAAAAGATAATTTAAAAAAATGGTCACACAAATATGGAAAACAGGAAAATGTAAAGAATAACATAATGGTGAAGAGTTAAAAGACAAACAATAAAATACTGATATAAATATATACATATATAAATAACCAATACACAGCCATGGACATTTCTACAGTAATGGATATTTAAAAATAGCAGCAACATCAGAATTGTCCAGTTTTGTTGCAGTTCTTTTGACAGCTTTAACATTTATATAAATATATTCAAGAAATACAATTTGTAAAGGGATTGTAACAAACCCATGGGACTACTTAACCTTTAAGAAATACATGCTTCCATGCATGCACCTTCAGCTATTAACAGCTTCCCTTTAGGTGAGATTGTTGGATGTGTCCACTAGAGACTGACACGGGAGTGGATTTTCACTCCTGTCCTGTCCCACTCCCACAGAAAAAAAATTGTGTCCCGTCCCGATCCCGGGCCAGAGTAGAAATCTAAATCCTGTCCCGTCCCACTCCTGGTGAAATTACTCCCACTCCCATCCCGCTCCCATTCAGAATGACTCCCGCTCCTGCACCACTCCCCTTCTTGTTGTCTTCAAAAGGATTTCCGTCAATACA